GATCTCTAAGGTACCGCTTAAAGCACTATAGCGGCTGGAGATGCTGAGGAATCACCTAATCCCACGGCATATACACTGCCTCTCTCTCGCCGTGGTACACAAGAGTGTCCTTAAGGCCATGGATAGATTAAGCCGCTTCAACCTGAAATTATGGTTGTGGCTCCCCAAGAGCACCGCCAATGCCTATTTTCACGCCGCCATCAGTTATTATAGACTAGACATCCCATGCCAGTCAACAATGGTACCTTTTCCACGAAAAACTCGCCCAGAACACCACCTGGTGAACACTAACCATGTTACTAGCTGGGAGATCCGAAACCATTCATCACCATGTCAATGCCCCAGTGAACGAAGGAGGACAGCTGGTGTTTGATAAAAATGCAGCAAAAGATGCATGGAAAGCGTCGCTTTTGGCCTCAGTCGACGGGTCACCATTACGTGATGCAAAAAGTATTCCTGCCGCTCACCACTGGCTCCGTGATCCAACGAAGATATTTCCTTGATTGTTCATCCGTGAAAGTTCTATCCACAAAAGTCCAAGGCTTCAGGGGGCGGCCAGCACCCCCAGTTGTGTCCATTAACTGCCGCGGTACTTGTGACCACCCCGAATCTCTATCATACGTAGTACGATTCTGTGATATCACACATGACGCGAGTTGTCGCAAACATGACATTGTTAAGCAAGTCGTTTTCATTGTCCGACGCCACCAGGGTAAATCTCATCCTGAACCAGGCATTGCAACAACTAGATCATACACCAAACCGGACTTATTAGTTATTCGGAATGAAACCGCTCATGTGACTGATGTGGCTGTGTGTGACGTTGACCGAATGGTAAAAACATATCAACTCCAACTCTCGAAATACACTGTCGGTGCCCATGTGCAGACCATTGAGCGACTCGTTTACTTGATTTTCCCAGAAGTAAAGAACATCACCGATCAAGCGCACATATTAAATAACTGAGGCCTGATTTTCCAAGCATCCACTGTACATCTATTTCAAGTTGGATTTACACGCTTGGATATTTCAGAGATTTGAGCTTCAACAATTCGTTCCACGCTACGCCTATACGACACATACATGCGTGGTGCCTTAGCAAACAATGCCACATGACACAAACAATAAAGTTATCATTCACAACGTGCGGGTCCGTCCACCTTTCCCAGTACCTTTAGTGAAATATAGTCCAGTCGGGACTAGATATTTATGCAACCTCAGCCAATTGCTGTAACGTGCATTTCTGGGGTCATGTATGCCGTTGTCAAAAACAGATGTCCCAAGCCAAATGCCCCGTCATCCAATTACTGACGCGCATGAATGGATAACCAAGATTCTCACTGTCACTACCTACTTTCTAACGAAACCACAGTCAAGGGAACGGGCTTGGCAGAATTAGCGGGGAAAGAAGACATTGTCGAGCTCGACTCTAGTCCGACTTTGTGAAGACGACGGGTATAGAATAAGTGAGAGCGAGGTCCTACGGGGTTGGGCGCCATTGAAATACCACCGCCGTTATTGTTTCTTTGCTTGTTCAGTAAAACGGGGAAGTAATATGGTGCTTAGCACATGCTGATATCCGTGACACATAGCGGGGGTTGGTGTCGTGGTCAGGTCAGATGAGTTATGACTATCGCCTTGGTGTTTGAGTCTGTTGGTGATGTGCGATGCGTACTGAAGACAATGACAGGCGGGCAGTTTGATTGGGGCGGTACATCAGTCAAATGTTAACGCAGGTGTTCCAAGGTGAGCTCAGCCAGGACGGAAACCTTGCGTGGAATCCTCGGTTGTACAGTGGTGAGTATCTCCACCGGTCGCGTGGAAGGCCCAAGTTCAATTCTCGACCGGGGTGCCAACTGTAAGTTCGGCATGGAAAAAAACTACTAGGGACAGGCAGAGCGGTATGCGTAAGAAGTTCACATAGTGAGTGAGACCAAAGAGGGGAACGGAGGGAATTTGGGCAATAATGTGAAGCCAGGCGAACAATGACTGCGATTGACCAAATGCACGTTACAATGGGAGGAAAGTTGGAGGTGATGAAGATCAGACTGGTTCATCTACTGTTGCCGTATTCCGAACGTGACCCTGCCTTGAAGAGATCGGGACAATAACGGAGCAGCTCCAGTAGGTTTGGACAATTTCTTGCTCCCACACACTTTGTGTTAATTGACCAGAAGAGCAGCGCCCCAGAATTTGAAGAAGGCTGGATGAAGACCACGAGGCTTTAATCAACTTAAGCAGTCTGATCTCACGTTCGATTGCTGAGCGAGAGGGCGAATCTAAAGCGACAACCCGATGAGCGGGGCGATCTCTGGCCAGTGAGGAATCTAGCAATTCCGGCCGATTAAATTGTCTTTCTAAATACTCAATCCAATGCTCCAAGCGTTTTGACAAGTCGTGGATTGATTGTCCATTTTCGTCACAAATAGTTCCACTAACTCCAGCTGCCCGTTTCTCGTATCACACGGAATAACTTCCGATGGTTACCAAGGGCAGTGGCCACTTCCATCTCTGATGCACGAAGAGACCACCAGGATTCGCGGTCTCTCTTCAGGCTAGCACAGAGCTTTGTCCTGATGTCTTTGCGAGTCTCGAGTTCGCTTCCAGCCGGAAGGTGCCGGTGAGCATCCATAAGTTCCAGAGACTGCAAAGAGACCCAATGTCCATTTGGATTTATCACAGGAGGATTTACCTGTTGCTAGTAAGGTCTGGGGAAGATGCGACCAGCGACCTTCGACTGTATTCAATAAGCGCTTACTCAATCCGAATGCCAAGGTACTTCGATACGCATTCAGAAGATCTGGCTTCGCCAGTTGGCTGAAGTCCATGCGCTCAAAGGGTCGCCAAGGGCGTCTGCCAAAACGCATCCGCAGATCAGCACATACAAGTGCATGGTCAGTGTTCACACGTGTTCCAAATCGAGCGACAGTTCTGGATGCAGCTTCTCCAGCGGTAACTTATCGCAATATGATCGATTTGCGTCCATGATTGGTTCGAGGCTAGCGGGCGCCATGTCATCCTCCAGCGGGTGACGTGTCGGAAATTAGTGCTCGCAAGATATAAGCGAGCAACTTCAAACAAAGGAAGTAATTGCTGACTGTCATTATTACAGGGACCTACATCGTGTTGGCAGCCCAGATGCACCTCATCAGTGAACAAGTTTCTAACAAACAATCAGATCACCAGAACTCCAGTGTCTGTGCTACTTCTGTGACGGTGATCGTTCAGTTGGCGACAGAAGTCCTTTTATGCCGTGTCATTGCCACAGTTTGTGTGGGTGTAGGCAGCGATGACAAACAGACACCAGCTAGTCGCGCATGGCTTCGAAGCTTTGAAAGATCCAGCTAGTCGGACCGCACACACCCAGCTACTGAAGGGGATTCAATAAACCAGGGCAACTTCAGCCTAGGGACTCAGGGCAATACCGACACCGGCCTGCGCGGTACCCAAAAATGGGTGGCATCCGAATAGGCGCAACGAGAAAGCACTGCTAGTGTCACCTGAATGGGATCGCAGAGTGAGCACAGAGCATAAGTCTTGCAGGCGGGTTTCCGAAAGGCAACAGATATTGATTGAGAGGGTTTCTAAGGTTAGGGCAAGAGATGACCGATTTGTAACAATGTGTGTAAGTTGAGATATTCCAAGCTGAGGGAGGATCGGGGGCATCAAATAGAGGCCGGTGAATTAGGCTTCATCGCTTGATTAAACATGGGCTTGTCGATAGGGGAAGAGCGACGTTCCAAGTTTGCATGTGAATTGAAACTAGAAGATAAACGGCTATCAAAGCATGGTGAGGGAGGGCCAAGAATTGGGTGTTGAAGAAGGTGGGAGTGAAGGTGAGGTTGGGACGGGACGATAAGAGTGAAAAAGAGCAAAATGAAGTACAAGAGAGGGAGGGCTTGAGCAGTAGCATCCAAAACCCTATCCACCTTGCTCGACGCAGATAGGGGGTCGTTAATTATTCTCTGCGACGACCAGAGCATCAAAAAATAATGTGAAGTGAAGTTCATAGAGTTGTATTGCACTGGCAGCGTACTGCCATGTTGCAAAGGCTTAGACAGGAAAACGATTAGGGTTCTCAACCAGAGCCTTTGGTTCAAAAACCTGACTGCAAGGCAGCGTGTTTGGCAGTGGACTACAATGAGTCCGTTTTAAGAAACAAGAGACCCCCCTAACTCCAACCCCCAAACCTGGAGGACCAGGAGACTGAGTTTGTCTGGCCACTAACCAGTGGCGAATCTGGTGTGTGTGTGTGGCTCTGAAGGCGCGACAAGCACCATCCAGCATAGTTCAATGGATAGCTGAGAAACGCAAACCATCACACGATGGTAAAGTCCAGGCTTATTACGATGGATTCTCGCAGTATCCTTAGCTCATGCGCGACCAGTGGTGGTTGCGTGGCAACGAGACGTTAACCCGGCGTACCGGCAAACTGCTGATCCCATTTTCCTCTTTACGTCATAAAAAAACGTACATATGCACCTAGTGTGAAGAGGATATTGTGACAGCGGATCGACTAGATCAAATCTTATAGAGTTAAACTGCGGTCATGGAGAGATTCGTAGTGTTTGAAGTTAAGCGCGAAAAATAACGAGCTGGAGGCTTTGAAGTAGACAGATAGCAGCGCTTTGACACAAGGGACAGAGTTCGTCGAAATTTAGCTTGAAATAACTTTAGTTGACTCTGACAGAAGCAGCCAGGTGCGAAGATTCATGGACATTAAGAAGGGTGTAAAAGTAGAGGTAGATATGCGCGACCAGGAGGAGAAACACAAGCTGTCACGACCGAAAAACAAACCGAGCCAGAGCGCGCTAATGGCATCTAGATCAATTAAAAGTTTCCAAAGGGAGAATAAGCCTTGGGAAAAGTGCATGAGATTCAGCGACCAATTCAAGTGCAGTAAAATGTCTAAAGGAACAGCCGTTGTCAGACAGCAAAGTTAACGGACCGATGCAGCGGAAGACAATTTGCGCAGGTGATGACGCGAGACGATAACTCACTTTTGGTTGCCTCAGACACAGATGACAAAATGTTCCGAAGATCTTGCAACTGTATTTTTTTCCCGTCACGTTTGCTGCCAGAACTCTGGAATGAGGCGAAAACAATACAGCAGATTGTGAACCGTACTCCTCATCCTCAACAACAACAACAACAACAACAACAACAACAACAACAACAACAACAACAACAACAACAACAACAACAACAACAACAACAGAGCAGCCATTTGAATTAAGGCTTCGCTACCATACAACCATGATGATCTATGGAATGAAGAACAATAAGAGAGAGAAAAGGGGGACTTACTTGAAAAGCTTAATGCCCTAAACATTCAGGATCAAGGCGCCCACACCTTCTTAACAACATACCATCATAAACAGCTGACTATCGTGCAAAGGTAAGGCGGCATCGGTGAGACAGCTACCTTGCGGTTTTCACTGCCCCGAGTCATAATCAGCCATTACCCCGCAGATAACTCAGCACCAAACACACTTTAAACAGGCAATGCGACTAGGAGACGGCAGCAGACGCGCCACTGGTGTCTACTGCGAGCCATGTCCTGTAAAGTCTCGAGCCAAGCACAAGGCGAGTCACGTGGACTCCAGCCCGGAAGGCGAGACGGACCAACGGCACACTTTGGTCCCGATTTCACCTCCCGCTGCCAAGTCAATTTTTGTCCACCTCGAGCTTTGCACCATCCTACACCTGGCAGACTAAACAAGGCCCTCCTAGGTAAGCGGTGACTAAGCATACGTAGTACGTGCCTAAGCCAACGCAACTTATTCAGTGCTATCTGTTGTTCTAAGGAAGCAACTTGGTTATCACTGCCAAGTACTCGCCTACGCAACTCATTGTTGCGGGCACGCTGGTGCCACTTGACACCAGCAATGCTCCGCAGGCAACGATGATCAGACTTGAAGGCGACTCAGATCTTCAGACCGTAGGGGCCAAGTTTCACTCCCATACAGCAGGACGGCCCTCAGTGTGGCCTTGTAAACTAGGTCTTTTAGACGAGGGGAAACTCCCTTCTGTCGCCAAAGACGCCGCCGGTTCAAGAAGACAGCTTTGGCTTTTGCAATGCGTAAATTGACTTTGGTTGCTATGCGCCCATCGTTGCGGACACAGCTGCCAAGGTAACTGAATTGATCAACCACCTCGAGTTCTTCGTTATAAAGAGTCAAGGGGTCATCAAGTGGCTAGTCGTCCTGCAGCAACACTTTGTAGGTGGGAAGCGAATACCAAATAATGGGATCACTCTAGAGAGGTTATTCAGGGCTGACTTCGCCGCCTCATCATTGTTAAACTGCAAGACGATATCGTCCGCATAATTAAGATCAACCAATCTTTCACCACACAGGAGCTCAACGCCTACGTCGTGAGATTCCGTAAGGGAACACTCTATGATGGAGTCCACGAGGAAATTGAAAACAAATGGGGAAATGGGACAGATGCTTCGCTGACGTACAACTACGGTGACCTACGGAATGAAGAATAATAACGAGAAGAGCAACCTAATGTGAAACTTTAGTACCCTGGCAAACATTCAGGGTCAAGGCGCCTACAAGGTACACTCACAAACAGCTGGCTATCGTGCAAAGATAAGGCAGCATCGGCGAGACAGGTTCCTTCTGGCTATCACTTACCCGTGTCATAATCAACCATTACCGTGCAGATAGCTCAGAACCAAACAGTCCTTAACAGATCTGCTCAAGTCTCACAAGTTTGGGCCAACTGCGGAAGCCATAGCAGCACTCGAGAAGATCAAATACGCGCTTTCCAACGCTACTGCGTTTAGTCACTTAAATACCGACGTTGACACACCCTTTGTACTCAAAACCGATGCATCTCAAACTGCTGTTGGTGAGATTCTTCAACAGGTCATAAACGGTCATCCTGAGCCCCTCACTTTCTTCTCTCCAAAGGTACAATCTCCTCAGACACGATACAGTACTTTCGGCCGAGAACCCTTAGCCATTTGTCGTGCCGTTAAGCGCTTTCGCCTTTGCTTGAAAGACGTTTATTTACCATCCTCACAGATCATAAGCCACTCGCTTTTGCTTTTTGTGGTTCATCCGACCGCTTCCCACCTTGAGAAACTCGTCATTTGGATTATATATCACAGTTTGCCACGGACATTCGACACACTGAAGCAGCTCACAATGTTGTAGACGACGCTATGTCCCGCACTAGTTGTCACGAGGTTTCGCGCCAAGTAAGCAAACTAAAAGACATCGCTGCCTAGTTCGAGTAGTTGAAATCAAATCGCTCTATTAAACTTTCGCAACTGCCTGTTCTCAACTCGGACTCTCGGATTTACCGAAAGCCTCGACCATTCGTTCTGCAACAGTTTCGGCGAGTTGTGTTTGATCACTTGCATGGAACTTCTCATCCGAGTATCTGCGCCACTATTAATCTGATCACGGATCGTTACACCAGGCCTAGCATGCGCACTGCTATCCAGCAGTAGGTGAAACATTGTATTACTCGTCAGAATGGCAAGATACATCGCCACACGATTACTGTTCCTGGAACCTTTTCGTTGCCCGATGCTCGACTCAAGCATGTCCATATCGACATCATTGGACCTCTATTGCCATCCAACAGTTTTACCTACATGTTGACATGGGTCGGTCGTTTCACACGTTGGCCACACGCCGTGCCGTTGCAAGATGTTCCAGACGAGACCGTGGCACAAACTTTCATCGAAACTTGGGTATCCGTGTTTGGCACCCCCGCCACTATCATCACGGATAGGGGATTCCAGTTTAATTCTGCCTGTTTCGCAATCGTAACTACATGCTGGACTGTTCCCATTAACGCACGACAGTATATGACCCGGCTGCTGTTGAGCGTTTTCACTGCCAACTCAAGGCCGCACTTACTGCGACGCAATCGAATATCCAGTGGTCGGAGCGTTTACCGATCATTCACCTCGGTATCCGCAACACGGTAATGGAAGATATCGGTTGTAGTCCCGCAGAATTAGTCTTTGGTAAAAGGCCGAGGCTACCTGGAGAATTAGTGCTGGATTCCAAGGTCACCGCATCATTCATTCATTATACACGTCAGCTAGAGGTGAGAAACATCTCAGCTACTCTGCCGCAATACATAGAGGAAAATAAATACAACAGTTGCATGCCAGCTGAGCCACCAGCAACAGACAGGCATCATTCCGGTAGGTTACCAGCCGGCCACTAGGCAAAAAGAAAAAAATCATTATGTTTTACGCTAAGAAATGAGATCGTAGGTGGAGGCGGAGGCTAAAAGGGATGGGGAGGGACAAAGAAACTCTCAACAGGAACGCCACTGAGGTCGGCTCCTTGCCATGTCAGCAAGTGTATCCAGCCAAACGTGTTCACCGTCTTTTGGACCCCAAACAGGGGGCCGTGATGCGTCAACCGATGCAAGCTCCGAAGTGAGGGCCTTCATTCCTCTCGACCAAGTCATCGCTTGGCCACCACTCCTCATCTTCTATCCACATCCTCGGTGAGCAAACAACGCATTCGTGGAAGTCAGTGGGCTGGCATGCGCAACACGTGGCCCAGCCATCGGAGCCTGGTGCGTGAAATGGCGCTGCTGAGCGGTTCAGTTCCTCTTTCTGTGCCGTAAACAAGGCTGATTGCACACGCGGTGTTCCCACCAGATGTGAGCCAAACTGCGATGGCAACGATGGTCGAATGTAACTAGCCTCTTCATGTCCGACGATCTTAGGGGCCAGGGTCACCGGCGAAATCGATCCTACGTCATATGTTGCATGGCTGAAACCATACTACAGCAGAATTCGTCCAACGTCATCACGCTTCACTTCTCGAACCCAACACGTTCACCCTGACTTGAACACGTGTCCCTTCGTTCTCGTGCGCGTCGATGTGGTTCGCAAACCTTTGACACTTCCTTAAGATGGTCTCTTTAAAGTCATAGCACACCAAGGGAAGTATTTCATAGTGGACTGAAATGGTTCCAGACTCTCAGCATTGATCGCCTAAAACCAGCTTAGGTCGAATTCAAGTCGCCGCAAGACTGACGCTGAACACACTCCACCCACCCAACCCATGTGTGACTCCCTCTTCTTCCCAACCCGTCACAAACTCAGGCACAAGAAAATGTACACGTTTTGGACGTGCAGTTATTCTTCCTTCTAAACTAGCTACTCACATCAAACAGTAGGTCCCGGGAGTTCATCTTCATGACTCACGCTCTAGGATGGGGTTTTGTAGCGCATGTTAACTTCGCATTTTAAATTGTACTTTCCTATTTCACTTTCCACTAGATACTGTACAGTTTGTTTTAATTAGTTGAGCTGGTACACGACCTACAAATTTCGTTCCGTGTTCTCGCTTCGGTTCACTGCGCGCAATTTCGCTGTGACTGGTAGTCGATATTGCTCAGTGTCTGGAGACCGGAATTGTTGCCAATTCGGATTGCGTTTCTTGTCACGGCATCCGGCTCGCTTCGGACAGTTGGGAGACTTTGAATTAACCTAACTTCAGATTGACTGTTTTCATAGCTGACTGAGCCTTTCATTAGCTCTTTAGTGCAGTCTTATCCACGACAATGGTGCGTGAAGATAGCTGCGGACTGTATGACTCCAGTGGCACTTCTGTTGCTCTCAATTAAGCTGGGAATTATAGAAGGAAGGTTAGTAATGGGGGTCGGGATGGGAGTAAGAGAAAAAGGTGGAAAAGAAAGAAGGGAGGCACCAGCAGTAGCATGTTTTCGCTGATCCGCCCTGCTGTATGCAGCAGATAAGGCGACCCTTAATAATCTGCGCGACCGCCGATGCAGGATGAAGTTTATGTTTGAAGAAAAAGTCATGGTTGTATGTGGGCTGAGATACTACCAGGGTGCCCAGATCTAGACAAGAGGACGATTAGGGTCCTCATCCAAAGCCTTTGGCTCAAAAGTCTGTCCGCAAGGCAGTGGGGAGGTCGCAATGATTTAATGTTACAGAAAGGGACGTCATCCCACTTCAAACCCCCAACTTGGAGGACCAGGAGACTGAGCTCGTCTGACCTCTCACCATTGACCAACTCATTAGGAGTAGCTCTTAAGGGGGCCGGATGCACCACCCAGTATGACGCAAAAGGTCGCATCATGTTATGGTCTAGTCCCGTTGTGACAATTGCGTTTAACCCTAGACCAGGATCTATGTATTGTTCCAACTGAAACCGCGAAGATTTCAGTATCGATGATACAACCTCGAAGAGCGATGAAACGCTCCTCATCAAATCCTCTGGCTTAGAAAACACTGCAACAACTGAACAGCCAACCTGAACTACCATTATTTCGAAATATCCAGAAAATGTGACTAAGAATGACCAGAATAAGATCCAGTAATGACGAAAATATAACCAAAAGTTACGTTGAATGGACAGGAAAAAAACTATCAAAGGAACGAACGCAAAAGCGTCACTGATTTCGAAGCTGCACCAAAGACGTTAAGGTGCCTAATGAATATCGTGATCGATCGAAAGTAAACGGAAGGGTGTCCCGCCATAAACTCCGATTTAGAGGGCACATAGATAAACACTGTACACAGGAGGCTTCCAAGAAAGCTGTCGTAGATAGTTTCGCGTTGCAAATACAAAGCCACTGGAACCTCCAAGCATCAGCCCACACGAGGGATAAGGTTGACTGAATGCTTGGAGACATTAATCATGCTCGGAACGGAAGGATAGTTCAGCCAGAACTCAAATACAAGAAAGGTTGATTTGGTGAGACGTAAACACATGCCAAGGAACAGTGACCAGGTGAGAATAAACGCTGTGCAACGAAGACATCTTGCGTACAATAGAAGGTATGGGCCTACACAACTTTTACACAAGTAAAACCCCCTGAGAAAGGGGTCTCGGGGAAACTCACAGGCCAGCGTTCGGATAAGTATCAACTTGCTAAGACTGAACCGAGTAGACAGCGAGTTTATTAAATCAACAATGACAACGAGAAATTGGCAAACGAACGACGCAAACTGCAAAACATTCTTCCTATCAGTGCATCATGATCTGTGGTCAATAAGGGAATATATCTTCACAATCTGATTACAGATAACATACAAACGGAACCACGGCGAAAAATGAAGAAAACGAAATACAATAGCTGAGGAAAAATTGAGTTTTACGCACGCTATATTGAGTTATTTGTTTTGTTTATTTAATACGTTCCATTAGACATTAACTAACAAACGATGCGGTTGAACAACGTTGTCATCACTGATGTCCGTTGCTCGCCATAACCGTCAGCGTTTCCAACCAATGGCAGTCGGTCGTCAAAAAGTCATCAGCCGTAGGCCGGTACGCAGTGCTGACGCTTCACTGCCGTGCAAGGACTATCAGTTGCGCATGGAATAAGGATACTTCAAGGGTCCCATGGTCTCCTACGCACACTCGAATCTAAGTCCTCGGATTAAGGCTTGTGATCCTTAAAGCTAAGCGCCGGTAAGGTGTCCCAGTTACAAAACGTAGACACTGAAAAAACGAGATCGTCATCATCATCATTAGACACGTTAGCTGGAGGTGGAAAACATCTCAGCTATTGTGCCGCAATACAAAAGACAAGAAAAGGAAAACAAACAGTGGCACGCCGGCTGAGTTCCCAGTAACGGATGGACATCGTTCTGGAGAGCTAACAGCTGGCTGCCGTAAAAGAGAGTCATATTATGCCTAACAAGTGAGATCGTGATTGAAGAGGGATGCTAAGCAGGAGGGGGATGGACAAAGGAACTCACAACACAAACGTCATTGGGGTCGGCTCCAAGCCATATCAGTAAGTGTGTCCAACCAAACGTGTTCACCGTCCTTAGGACCCCAGCCAGGCAGTCGGGATGCACCAACCGACGCCAACTTCGAAGTGAGGGTTTTCATTTCTCTCGACCAAGTCATCACTTGGCCTCTCCTCCTCCTCTTCCAACCGCACTCACAACGCGCAAACAATGCACTTCGCGGAGGTCGGTGTGTTGGCATGCGCAACACGTGGCCCAGCCATCATAGCCTAGTGCGTGATAAAGTGGCGCTTAGCGGTTCCCTTGCTATTCCTGCATCAAATACGCGACACCGAACACGCTCATTGCTCACGCGGTGCTCCCACCAGACATGAGCTAAGCTGCGAAGGCAGCGATGATCGAATATGACGAGCCTCTTTATGTCTGAAAACACACAAACAAGAGGCGTGCGGTATGTACAGAACACATATCACTGGAAACGTACCGGTTGTGTAGGTGTCGCTTCTGCGGGAACGTTAGGAGTGGTGACAGTGGATCCAAGGACAGAAGTAGGAATCGGCAAACTTTCCAGATGGCCAGTGTTCAAATGACGTCCGATAGTAACGGCGGTTGCTTGAGCTGATGATCTGTAAAAAGGTGAAAAGAGTGACATCGAGTAGCAGAAGCAGTAACGACTAACGACAAAAAGCAAGTTGGATGGGGAGAGACCATTCGCTGCCGACCGCACCATAATTGTAAATAGGAGTGAGTTTTCCAAAGGTATAAAGGTTAAGTATTCGAACCGAATACAGATGAATGGACTTCTGGGACAATTCAACAAGATAACGGAAATAATATTGCGATAGTTACAATGTATGCGGACAGCGCCAGATAAAAACGATGGAGACATTTCCACCTTCTCAAGTTGATAATTGAGAAGAAGCTGAATGGTCGCCGAGCAACCTACGTGGCGGATGATTCAAACAAGAACTTTTAGGCGCTTTACTTTAGCTAGTCTTAATGCAACTTTAGCGGCTGACGCTCATTATCCGTGAGCCGGTGAACAGAATCACAGACTTGTAAGAATATGAACGTGGCGTGGATTTTGAGTTGTTCTCCCAGCTGAATGACTGTTTTGCAGATGTCTCGTTGCCAGGCTAGACGACGACATCAGTGCAGCTTAGGGGGCCTGGTTCGCAGTGCATAGTAAGCGACATCGATATTTAAGTGCTTACTGACTGAGCTATGCTTTGAATGTCAGGCTCCATTAAACTCATGTGCTTGTCGGCTTTTAGTGCCTCCGAGGATGCTGGCGCGTTCCAGGTCGAATTAGTGGTTGTCGGCATCCATATGCATGAACACAAGGGAGTTCTGAACGGGGCGACAAATGGCTAAGCTGTGTTCGTGTAGCCTTGCGCCAAGCTTTCTTCAAGTCTGTCCCACGTAGTATTTATCACACTTCCGGCAGCAGATCATATAGATCACATTGGTTGTCTTATGCTCGCTCAGTTGACTTTCTACTTTGAAAAGCTTACTACGAATTGTCTCAGTTGAGTAGTGTGCAACTTTGACTCCAAAAGGTAATAGATGTCCCGCTGTCGTTTCAGATGTCGTTAGTATAAGGTAATTTGGCTCTCTTTTCAACTGTTGTCGGCCGGTGGACGAGCAGTCTGCATGCCTGGCTCGCAATCATAAGATCATCGGTTCGAATCCGCGTAGGGGCGGGCGTCCTCGAGGTATATACAGCCCACGCGCGACTGGTGGTGGCCGCACGGCAGCGAAGCACCGTTACGGCGTACAGCTGGCACTGTTTTTTTGTACACTTTTCAACTTGTTGCATTTGTTGGGGTGTGTGGTGGAGCCAGGAAGCGTAGAATGAAGCGTTTTGGGTACCAGTTCCGCTTGAGCAAAATAAAGAGATGGTATTTCTCCGCCTGCATCGGCTGCGGCGTGTTTGTGCTCGTTTGAAAAGAGTTCGCACGCAGTTGGGTTTGTGGACCGCCGGATGATTGCTGCCGTAATTGATGATCTGATCCGTATGCGCTGATTTTAGGTGAACTGTTGTTTCCAGTCATCTAGCAACATTCCTTGATATGAGACGGTCTAAAAATGGTAAGTGACTGTTGTTCTCCTTCCCCTGGTGAACTGAATGTCATCGAACACACTGTTGATTAGCATGTGATCCTCCAATTTGGAAGGCTTGAGGATCACGAAGGTGTCGTCCAAGTGTCGTAACCAAAGTTTTGATCTCGTAGCTGGGAGTGATATTTGTCCCAGTGCCCGCATCACTGCCTCGGCTAACATTCCGGAGATTGGCGATACCATTGGTATGCGTCTTATCTGCTTGCAAAGTTAGCTATTGAAAGTGAAATGTTTTGTTAGACAGAATTCCAGTAACTTCATCATCTGTCTGGTGTCAAGCTTACTGCTTCCATCGGACGGTATGCGTTCCTCCAGTAGGCTGGTTATTGTTTGTTTTTCCAAATTGATGTCGATTGATGTGAACAATGCGGTTACATTATTGCTTCCCGCTCTATGGTTGTGGTTTTGAGTCTCGTAAGAAAGTGTCAAGTTGTAAGTCTGTAATTTGGTGTTCCAGGTAGCGACAAAATGGGAAGGAGAGGCACACTACTGTTGTGTAGTTTAGGCGGGCCGCAGAACCGCGGAGGTACGGAATCTCATCATTTAGGTCAAATTTCGTAATTTGTCCTATTTGTTCCAGTCGTTGCAGTTTGTGTCTAATGTTGCTTTCTAGCCGTCTGTCAGAGTTACGCTTAGCGGCTGGTATGTGTTGGTATCACGGAGTAGGTGTTGCGCTCTTATCCTGTAATCAGTTTTGTCCATTAGAAGGGTAAGACGTCTTATGTCGGCCGGCAGTATAAATATGCTCTTGTCTTTTGAGTGATACGTCAGAGCATTTTGTTCATACAACAATTAACCAGTACCACTACGGATCAGTCGCAAGTTGAAATCGACATATCCAGCGCCATTGAACACAGAATACCGACTAGGCATAACCATTAAGTAAGAGCAAGCCCAGTTGCAACTGTGGAAGCAGTATGCATACGGGTAACAAGCCCCGACCTGTAGGTTCAGAATAAAATAGCACAATCACTGCGACTCCAGTGGCTAGCCATCAGACAAGAAGGAAGAGAGCGCACTCCGCAAACTCACCCAACTTCAGTCACGGGACCAGAGAATTGACCACATGACCACAAATCAAAGTAGCTAATCAATTGATCATCTGATAATCACAACCGACCTTATCCTGCATTACATGAATGTATAAGCCAGGGGAAGAATTAATCGGAAACAACTGCTTGTCTGAATCAAGAGTTGACCTGCAACAGTTGAAAAGAAACACGTTGCCTTATATCAACGAAACCTCTGAAATGACAGCGAGACTTTTAGTACCTTTTGGAGTCAAAGTTGCGCACCAAACAACGGGGAAAATTCGTAGTAAACTCATCAAAGTGAAATAAAATTCAGCGAGGAGGAGAAAATTGACGTGATCTATATGATCTGCTACCGGTGCTATGTAGGACAGACTTGAAGCAAGTTTGGTACAAGGCTACACGAACACAGGCTATCTATTTGTCGCCACGATCGGAACTTCCTGATATCCGTACATATGGATGCCGACAGCCACCAATTCGACCTGGAGCACGCCAGCATCTTCGGAGGCACCAGAAGCCGGTAAGCACATGAGTTTAATGGAGCTAAGAATTCAAAGCAGAACTCGGCTAATAAACATCTAGATCTCGAAGGCGTTTATGAGGCTATGCGAACCAGACCCTGAAGACGCAGTGATGGCACCTAGTCTGGCAGCGAAACGTCTACAAAGTAGTCATTCAACTCGGAGAACAACTCAAAAACATCCACACCCGAGTTAGGGATAATTTCTAGCCCCACAAGGGTGAGATGGCGAGTGCGATGATAGTGACACCAGATAAGAGGAAACGGCGTTGAGGAATATCCTTCGTAAATAATAATAATAACGCACTTGTAAATGTCGGATTGGCTTCCGATTCGGTAGATGCTACAGTGACTACAAGTTTACTTCTCGCCTAAGGTGTTGACCAGTGGCCGAAAGGATTACATGCCTGCCTTCTAATCTGGAGGTCACTGGTTCGAATCCGCGAAGGTGCGGGCGACCTCACGGTATACCCCGCCCACGCGTAACCGATGATGGTCGCGTGGCAGCGAAGCGTCGGCAAGGTGTGCCGACGTACAGTTGACATCTTTCCTGGAAGTAAACTGATCACTGGTTGGTTCGGCGGAGCTGTACGCTACCGGGCGCGTTCCCAATTTGTAGATTAGAGAATGTCTTGGGAGGCAATTGTGATTAAGTCTCATGTGAGAGGAACAGGAAGTCACGGACAAGCAGCCGAAACGTCTCAGAGCGTGGTTCTGGGCTAGTCACTTGGTCCCTCATTAGATACCACAAGATCTTGTACAGCGAAGTGTCAAAGTAATGTGACCAGCTATAGGAGCAGTGACCACACACTTCTGTACCTAGAATCGAGAACATAAAGGCGGGCGGATGAACTATTTCGATGGATATCGGCTTCTATGAAAGCGTATGAGCCACATTGATGGCAATGACCCCCGTGCCTGGCAGCGAGTTCGGTTGTCCAGGAAACTTTTCTTAATCTCCGAGCTATTATACTTTGGCTTTTTGGGCGCCGGCACAATAGCCGGCTGTTAGCTATCCGGAACCATGTCCATCCGTTACTGGTGATTCAACCGGCATATCTCTGTTGCGTGTTTTTGTCCTTTCTTGTGTATTGCGGAACAAGAGCTGTGTTTTCACCCTCTAGTTAACGTGTATAATGAGGATGATCTCGGGCAGTTTGTTTCTACTCAAAAGCAGCATTATCCTCGTTTTGATAACCGCCCCCAACAATTCGCAATATCCGCTAATTGCCCCACTACATTGAGAATCAGGTATTTATGGTTCAATTCTCTGGGTGGAGTCCCATAAACCATCTCTCTTGACCTGGGCAACCGAGAAGTGATAAACACACACACACATTACACAAGAAGACCGGTGACCAGTACAAGTTTCCCATCCACGTTTGCAGCCTGCAAGCAGCTAAAGATGCAAACATTTGAACAGAAATACCGGGCAAGATTGTACAGATTCCTGACATCACACTGTAGCAAGTGACCGATGAGTGCCAGATAGTGACGAATCTGAAGCACGATCCATCAATGATTCAGCAGTTGTCCAATACGAACGAGGATGACCTCATTTGAGCAATCAACCGGACTCCCCGGAAAGCACCAACTCAGGTGAGCCTATAACATTCCAAACCTCCCTCTGCCTGTTGGTTTTGTAGAGAATAGCATGTTGCTCAACACTGTCCATTTAAGAATTACGTTTGCAACCGATGCAGCAGAAGAGACTATAAAGAGTCGTGTTGCCTGGTAAGTGGTCCTATTTGGACGAAGAAGAGGCGCAACAATGCCACACCATGCAGACGGCCTAATGGGATCAGAACGATCACCGCGACTTTTAAAGTTGATGGCGTCAACAGGCGTAAGTACACCGTGGTGAAAATAAATGGAAGGAAAGTCAAGTATCAAACTTGATACTGCTTCGGATATCACTCTTATCTTTAGCGATACGTGGCGCAGACGCTCGTACAAGCAGTCCCTACGGGGCGCGGGATGTTTCAGATGGTAGGTTACAATTGCTCGGTGAACTGAATCGTTCAGTCAATTTCCGGGACCAACAAGCCCTTGTGATAAACCGACCGGGTTGGATTTGCTGGGACTGGAATGGATGGAGAAGTTGATATTGCTTGATCAGCCAGTAAACAGTGTATGCCAGCCACAACAAGTCAACCAGCTGTCGCAACCATTGACATCAAGCCCAATGATTCAAAGTCAGATTACGAAGATGAAAAGACGTCACGAAGTAATGCAACAACCTGGTCTCGGATCCGGTAAAATGACCAGTGCTACCTTGAACCACAAGTAAGACGCTAAACCACTATTCAGACCAAGGCGCTCTGAGCCGAACGCCAAGAAAAGCACCGCAGTTATCAAGTAGTGGAAGAGCTGACAGACAGTGATCGTCATTTCGAAATTGGTGACATGATTTACGCGCGAGAATTCCCAGGACCGAGGAGGTGGTCTATGGAAACAGTGACGGGCAGAAATGGTCGAGTCATCTACGAACTAATGATAAGAAATGAGAAATGGACCAGGCACGTCATTTAGCTGAGGCAGAATCACGGAAAGACTGTCCTCCAGAACCGCCATTCTTACCGTGGGACATCCTGCTAGACACGTTTGGCTTTGAAGACGAAGCTGAGTGGCTACGTGAATCATGAAAAAAGCTTCAAGCCACAGATAATGCACAATGCAGGCCGACCCGAAAGCTAAGACGACCCCAATGGCTGCAAATTGACCCCAAGAGGAAAACATAGGAAAAAAGTTGAGTTCGAACGGTATGCAAGCAGACTCATTACGGAAGGGGAGGTATTAGGCGGCCATAACTAATGAATGACGTGACACGGTTTGGAGACAAGACTTGGGCCTACGGCAGATCTCGCGGTCAGGTGACTTACCTAGTTTATCATCGTCGCAAGGACTGCTATGGCGTGGATGTGATGGTGATTACAGCCAAACAGGTTTGAATCTGTCTAGACAAGTAATGTGAATCAGCTAAGTAACGGATAGTCGAATTGAATGCATGTGATCTATGAAGTAATTATGCTCTATCCCCAATACACTTTGGTCTGGTGGGTCTCGGTCTTCTGTATTTTTCCCCGGTAGCGCAGAGAGCAGAGGCAATGGAAGCGTTACAACAAAAAGACAACAGCAGTATGCCGGTACGCAGTACTGACGCTTCGCTGACGCGCAACCACCACTGGTCGCAGGTGGGCTAAGGATACTGCGAGGATCGCCCGGTTCGTAAGCAGACTCGAACCCACGCCCTCAGATTAAAAGGTAAGCTTGGGATCCTTAAGACTAACTGTTTGTATGGAGGCAATCATTTGCGAAACGTGTTCACTAACCCACGCCGATATGTGCTTCGCGACCCTTATTCTCAACTGTCGTTCTGTCATGCTCACGTATTCGGTCTAGCAAGTATATGTAAAATGGTATGTAATGTGTGAACAGCGGCGGTTTAACCGACGGAGTAGGGATACGATTCGTTGTGTAGATTAATGCTGGTTCTACCGCGGGGAATATGCGTGCCATTGCGGATTTCAATCGGCGCTGAGATACTTGGCATACGTCATCTCCCTTGAATGGTAGCTTCAGGGTAACTTTCAGCTTCGATTCCCGCAGACACAAGTTGTTCCACTCTCCAAGCACTAGACTGAGCGATGAGGAAATGTAAGTATCCATTGTCTATGAGGGGGTTTGTTATCAGCCGCACCTCTTGTTGCAGTGTGTCGGCAGTGCATATTTGTTTGTAGCAACAGCACTTTTAAGATGCAGCGCTACGCGTCATTCTGTCGCTTGCATGGCCACTGCATCACACTTAAGAACGGCTACGTCGTCCGCATGCTTTACCATTTATAGTTTGCATATGGGAACTACGGTTCGCTGCGTATAACATAGGCAACACTGATCAAGCAAAGTTGCTTTTAATCAGCAACTTACGGAGCTGCCGATGCCCATCTGATTGGCCGTTTCCATTCCTAACGCTCGACGAACCAAGCGATGCTTTGGGCGAACCTCCCGAGGTGATGATATGGCGGATGAGTGCGAACAAATCGCTGGAAATCTGAGCCGAGCTTGTGATTACCGTTTCCCGAACGATAATCATGGGATCGGCCATGTTAGTGGCTGCATACTCCATCGGATATGTCACAATCGCTCTGGCGTTCGTTCCCTTATTTCTGACCCATAACCACTCCGTTTGCTTTTCTCGCCCATTCCTGTTGCATTGAAATAATAAAAAATAATAATGTGTCTGCTGTACGCCGCAATGACGCTTCGCTGTCGTGCGATCACCAGCAGTCGCACGCGGGCTGAGTATACCGCGAGGACACCCACTCCTACGTGGATTCGAACCTGCGCCACAAGATTACGAGACAAGCTCGTGACTTCTAAGCTACGGGTCGACTCCTCTTGCATCATTGTTGTTGTTATTATTACTATGATTATTATTATTATTTTGATAAAGTGTCAAGGCAACTAGATCCACCGCTTCTCGGCACATGAACCATAGTCAGTAACGGAACGAGAATGAACTGAGCACGGACTAGCCAGGTCCCTATCCACTGTAGGCAATACCCCAAGCACTCTATGGTTGTCCCCCACTGTTTGTAAACGGTTGAGTTGTTTCGGCTTAAATACTATTAATTCATTACCCTTTCTCGTGCGAATTCTGTCGTATAGTTGGGGAACGTAAAGCGAACCACTTAAGTCTTTGATTGGTCTCATTACAGCCATGTTTCATCTGCGATTCTATCGCTGCTTGTCTATTTGAACCTCCATTTTGTTTACACTTAACTCCTCTTCGTAATGCATTGTGCAACAGAAACTTTTGCCGCCTTCCATACCAACAGTTTTCTTTACAACTTGCCTTGATTTTGTGGCGACGTGTGGGCGCATCTACATTGTCCTGCTCGCTTGATCTCTCTTCTCCTTCACCCGCTCCCTCCTCGCACAGACCTTCTTGCCTTCGCTCAGGCCCTGCAATCCGATGCTGTGTCATCCGTATCGACCACCGCACCGTCTTCTGCTGTCTCTTCAACCACCCAACCGGTGACAGCGACCGACAAAGGCGAACCCGAAGAGGACGAGGCAAAAGTCGACAAAGAGCAGTCCTCGGATGCGGAGAAGGGCGAAACCGCCATGGACACTGATTAACTAACTATCTCAGCCGATCGAACTACGTTTACACACCCACTCGTCCCAGACTTTGTAATGATCCATTAATTCCCTGTCCTCTACTGTTTACTCGTTGGCCCCCTCCCTTATTCGCTGCGGGCTCTATCAAGACTGCCAGCTCTTCGCTCATCTGTATTGTAACCCGCTCGCTCACCTTCCGTTCTGAGTTCACCGCATGCACCACTCAGGTCGTTGTACTGACACTATCGTATATTACACAGTTCCTGTTTGTTTTTCCCTCGTCCGTTCCATTTCACTTTGTATTACAGTCTCATTTTTGGTCACCAAGCCCCCCTCCAATTTTTTTCCTTTTATTATCCCCTCGAATCGGCTGGTGCCCGGTCGCTTAGACTCTTTCGCTCAAGCAACGTGTGTGTGTGTATGTGACCTAAAATATATCCTTTTTATCGATCCTGCAAACGATCTGCGCTTTTTCTATCTTTATGGAATTGGGATGCACCCCACTATTTGGCAATTCGCCTATTGCACTGTTTACCATTACTATATCTGATCGAATAAAACCTGAAGCTGTTCCGTCGGCGAACATTGTCTTGGTTTTTCCATCCTAAAGTTTGATAGCTCGTTCCATCGTGTTCCGGTTTTCTGTTTGTTCACCGGTTAAACAACTATAATCCGACCACTGAAGTTCGGTGGATCCAGTTGCCGTGACCCACATCGCAAGAAGAGCAATTAATAGCAACGGCTAACTTGTGTGGTCAAAGGCAAATAGAACGTAAAGAAAATAACAAGAAGAAGGAACTGCGTTAAACTAATACGAGTGGAGAGAAAATTAACAACCAGATGCAAGAACCGAATACAAGAACGCCACTGACTGCATGACAGCGCCATATCTGATATGGTCTCCAACCATTGGTGGGGACCATTCCGAGGCTCCCATCCACGGAGACGGTACGCATCAGCCCGACTAAGTCTCTTCATCCCACTATGCCGCGTCATTGACTTGTCACCTCGCGCTTTCGCCTAACTTGGTGCAACCACGTCATATACTACACGCCGAGGAATCCGGTCAAAGGGTATACGGTGGACATGGCCTAACCAACCTAAGCGACTAGGATTCAACAAACACTCGAGTAAGGCACCAGAAGGCTACTTGCTAAAATCAACTGGCGAACCTCAGCATTGCTCACCCGGTGTTCCCACCGGACATCAGCAATACTTCGCAAGCACCGGTGGTCAGCCACGACCAAGCGTTTAATGCCTTCGTTGCGAACTGCCCGTGTCCTCAGATCCATACATTAACACAGGTCTTATCGCAGCGCTATACACCGTACCTTTCACTGATATCCTACCGTCTCCATAGATGGTTTAGTCTCTGGAATGCCACACGGGGCTTGCCGATACGCGAAATAACTTCTTCTGTGATGTAACCACCAGTGGTGACACAGCTGCCAAGGTAAGTGAACCGATCCACCACTTCCAGTGGCTGTTCGATGCTAACTAGAACCGAATGTGTGTCGGTCCAGTCCTGCAGCAGTAATTTGCACTTCGAAGGTGCAAAACATGCCGAAGCGTGCGGCGCTACGCGTCAGTCTATCCAGCAGTATTTGCATAGCCACTACGTCAGGCCCAAGAAGAGCTACACCGTTTTCATACTCCACGTTTGTCAGTCGGTAACTAGGCAAAGCTTCCACTCCGTTAAAGTCTGAAAGAACCATGTCATTTATGATCATTTCGATCACAAAGTTGTATAGGAAAGTAGATCAACGAAAACCCTGGCGAATCCAACTTGTCGTTGGGAACTCAGGAGAGTTTCCTCAGGAATCACATTAGGTGGACTTCATAATGAAAAGGAGTTTAACTGGCACGTTCTTCTTGAATAGGCAGTGTCAAAAGCTGGCGCGGTCAAGAGTCGAAGCCGGCTTTCAAGTCAAAGAAAACCATCATCGTCTGTATGTGTCTGCTCTTAAAATTCTCGAAGAGTAAATATATGTTCGATGCAACCATGAACATGGCGGAAGCCAGCCTAGCTTTCATTGAGTCAGAGTATGATACCCGTGAGCGGAAACAAAGCTAACATCTCGATAATTTTCGCGCAAAGTCCACCAACCCTTCTTGAACATAGGCCGGATAGTCAGCAGTCTGAAAGCACCCCCGATGTTCCAAATAGTGCTAAACAGAAGCAATTCCAGTCAACAAAGAGTTACCACCATCTTTCAGTAAAGGTGGGGGAAGATCATCCTGTCCAGGAGTTTTGTTTCGTTTAAACACAGAAAGCTCACCTCGAACCTCTTCTAAAGTGGGAGGTGTGACATCTACTTCGCATGTCGGTTCCGGCGATTCCGCAAGCGGCCATGTCGCAGCAGACATGCTGAACTGCTCTTCAAAATGTTCCGCCCAACGGGCTAATCAATGAGGCTGTGAATGGATCAGTTGTCCGTCTTTCTTAGGTATTGTCTCGCTAACATGGATTCATGGGGCCCGTGTTCCGGATGAGTTGGAATAGCAATCAGCTGTTTCCAATAGCACTGGCTTTCTCCTTCTCACGCGTTTTTGCCATCCACCAACGTTCCCGGTCGATTCGAGGACTCCTCGTCAGACTTCGTTTCAGGGTTAAGTGCACGCTGAAACTCAGCGACCAACGTCATTTCTCACTGACCAGTTCAGCTCATCATGATGTTGTTGAATCGCAGACTACAAGATTAGCAGATAGGTGCTTCTTTGAAGCGGGAAGTGTGCGCGCACTAGAGCATGGTCGGAATCCAGGCATGTGCTCCCAATTGACTAACGGTCTTGGTCTGATGTGCACTATCTCCAGCTGTTGGCAATATGGTCAATTTGGGTTCAGGTCATTGCGAAATTCAGTGCGCGACAGGTGACTCAGTTTGAACGTTTGTGCTGAAAAGCAGTGCTGCTAACGTAAAGGTTGTGGCCAGGGCACATTTGCAGGAATCGCTCACCATTGTCTGTTCGGCGTGCATCGACTCCGAAGCGGCATTCCGGATGTTGTTAGCCTGAAAGACGACCCACTTGGGTGTTCAAGTCACCAGCAACAATCACGATTTCAGTATTCTTCGCCATGCGAAGAAGTGATAAGAGCTGTTGGTAGAAATCATCTTTGATACCTTCTGATAAAATGGCGCTCTCTATTGGTGCTTACCACATTCAGCTGAGCGGCTGACGTGGTTTCTAGGACACTCCTTTTCATCATCTCACAATTATCATGATCCCTGTTATACATGGGGATGGATTCACCAAGTATACTTAGGGATCTGATCAAAAGGACCCCGTAAGATAATCATTTATCTCCTCGTGTTTGCTTCAACCCTGGACATTTTCGCATACCTGCTGAGTATGCCGCTAAATTGAATATGAGCCGTCGTATTTCGTGCATGTGG